TAAAATACCTCCATGCATGAATTAAGCCCCCTGGTCATTGTGCCGAAAAAGGCAGGATCATTCAGGAGACCACAAGTGTGCTTGTGTAACCAAAGACTGTTACAAATGGCACTGAGAAGTGTGTACATCATAGAAACCTTTCAAAACTTTTCAGCCATTTCAGCAATGGTTACATCTTTAAGACCTGGCTGCCTTAAGTGAAGACCTTGCACAGAAGGTGATCTGTGGGATCACCACCAGAACATCTAACAGATTATTTCCTGGGGTGGGTATGATACATGGATCCAGAGCTTGGTTTTTACAGATCTGTGCATTATCTTTGAATATGGAGTGACTTTGGAATTGTGAACCTTAAGTCTCATCACCAGACTGCAGTATTAGTCAGTGTTAATAGCATACATACAGTATTACTTCCTATAAAGTATTAGCCAGCCACCACAGAAAAACAATTTTCAGTACGACTCAACAGAATTGGAATGTGTGATTCTGCAATTCAAGCTTGATGAAGACCACTGATGAACTTTGGGACTATTACAAGTCCTTAGCTACCAAAGAAAAAGTATTTGTTACCATGGGCTTTTCTGTGGATGTTTTCTGTGATCCAGTCATATGACGTCCAGTTCAGGTTCCACTGCAATCTGTTAAAAAAAACCCAAAAAACAAAAAACAACAAAAACATATTATTATTGTATCCCTAATTTGTCAGTTTCCTAGTTCCCCCATCTGCAGAGTGGCAATAAGAAGGCAACATCTAATGGTAGCTGAGCACTTTGAGATCCTTGGATGACAAAGGCCAAACTCCACAGTACATTTTTTGGTCCTGTGACAGACTGGATTTCACTTACACACCATTATTTTGAGAACTGTGTCAGGTTATTTGCCTGTCCATGCTAACAATGACAATAAATCATTCTCCACACTTTACTGAGAACGAAGCGTTATTTACAGATTATAGTGTGGATAAGGCAGAAACACTGTTCCCATCACTACAGTATGGGATCTGTCAGCACTTCCATTACCATACTTTAATTCCAGTGGTTTTCAAGCCCTTTTGATTACCATTACCAAACAGACTGCTATTTTTCAGCTTTATTAATGTTAAGTGAATAAATCATGGAAGTTAAAATTGCTTTTGTTCTCCCATAACTAAAATTGGCTTAAATTCAAACAATGAAATTTGGAAAGCAATTTAATTTGTCCAAAAGAAAGAAATAAAGTCAAAGGACTGGCCACTTCACATACTTAGAATTCGATCTCACTATCACGCATCTAGATCTGTATTGACAGGATGATATACTAGAAAAAATAGTACTCCAGTGGAGCTCTTCCAATTGCTTTGATACCTAGTATCATTTTTTAAAACTGTTTAAATACACATTTACATTGTGTCTGGGTGGTCTTTGGGTTAAAGAATATGCTTTCAATAACTTTCCCTCAAATATATATTTTTTATTTTTTAATAAAAAAGAGGAAATTAAATGCAAAAAATCCTATGTTATTTTAACATTGAGGTTTCAACAATAATGAAATTCAAATTTAAGCTTGACAGACCGTCTTAAATCATTCAAAAATGCATTTCTAAGAAATGCCAGTAATGGGATGAGTTAAGATGAATAAATCAGCCTTAAATGAAAACTCCTAAGTTGTGTTTCATTCCTGACAAATACAGGCATGTATTCTCCCTTTATGATTTTTGTGAAAAACAAAACAAACAAACAAACAAAAAACCCCAAAACATCAAAACAAAACAACAAAACAAAACAAAAAACAAACTTGGGACTTTGAAACTGAACTTTACTCAATAGTGTGCAAGCTTTGTTTTCATGGAAAGGGTGTGCAAGATGCCCCTTGGAGACCCCAAGATCAGCAAGTAACACAACCCATCCCAGTTGCCCCCTCCAGGAATGGGACTGACTAGACCATGGTACCATTGAAGGCACAAGGAATACAGCCTGACCTTTGCTGACAGTTCCTCAGAGCTCCTGAGCCCTGATTTTTCCAACATGACTGAAGTAAATGCTCTCTCCCCCTCTCTCTAAGAAGGCCTTACCTTTGACAACAGGGAATGGGTTGAGGCAACCACTGATGCTGTTCTTGTCATGTCTCTGTCTTTCCAGATGCAATGCCCACAGTGCTTCATGCCACATACTTTTAACAGGCAGTACCTGACTCTTTGTTTGCATTTGGCTGTGTGTTAAGGTCTTTCAAAAGCCATCTCACATTCATTTAAAAGGCTGTAGTGGAACAGTGAGAAGGAAAGTCAGGCTGCTTGCCTTGGTTTAGCTGCTGCATTGAATAAATAAAACCTGGAGAGAGAAGAGAGAGGAGAGAGGGCACTTTACTGCAGTCTGCAAAAGCAGGCAGTGTGTGAGGAAATGACTTTTCAAAGGTACAGCTTTGTGCAGCAGTAGCATAAACTGGTGACTGGAAGGGGAGGGAGCAAACTATGTACAGTCTTGGCTCAGGCTGATAAAACAAGATTGCAGATTCAGAAGGCCTCTGAAGAATATGTAGAAAGGTGGGAAAACATTCAAATGTAGAATTTAGGTGTATATCTCTCCTCTACACTCACGCTTACTGGTCTTGTAATGTTATTCTGTTTTATCCAGCAGATTTGTTTTCTCTTTCTACCTGTATAAATTGATTTAAAATTCAAGTAAAACCCAGATTTTGAAATTCATAGGTATATATTGGTTTGGGGGTGTTCACAATTAAGAAAACGACCACCTGAAAGCTCTCAGGGCTAACGCAGGATGCTTTCATGATTGTAATACTCTATTTTCCCTCATTCCTGGTCATAAAACGTATCTCAATGGGCCACCTTGTATTTGGAAATCCAGTTGAAGGTCATAACATGCAAGGTTTAATTCTTCCTCATGAGATTTAGAGTCTGTGGCTAGATGTTGAGCCTCAGAGTTATACAATCTCTGTTAGCTCCAAGGATTGCAGCCATCCTTTGTTTTAATTTTCCAGTATTAGAGGAAAGATAAGATGATCTGTCACATAGATTCTATACAAAATCTTTGCTTCCATGACTTATGTAAAATTGCCCTCCAATTTATTGGAGTATTAATGCCTCTTCAATGAGGCAAGTGCCAAATATTAATTTACAAAAAATCAGGGTTAGTCCAATGAATAGCAAGGATGGCAACATTATGCCACTTCATATTAACCACTGATTAGCAACAAATGCAGAAATGTCTTTGTAAAAATGGAAGTTGAATGGCAATTTAATAAATTATGTTTTAGAAAACCAAAATATCCTGTTTAACCTTCACTTCACATTATGACAAAAATATATAACATAAATAAGCAGACAGATATACAGCAGAACTGTTTTCTCTAGAAACTTACTTCCTGTTACTAAAGGAGGTGTGAAAACAGATTTCCTTGCAAAATAGGAATTTTAAATTAATTAGATGCAAAAATCACAACCACATACAACTAACTTCTCTTTTCTGAAAATATGCATTACTGCTGGCAAAGCTGAACCATGACAAGTTAATCCCAAGAATAACAGAAACAGAAGGATGTGTGGACAGAAATCCCCTTTTGTCTCAGTTCTGACAAATATTCCCAAACCAGTAATCATTCTGGGAGGAAACTGTTGCTTCATGCAAACACTATGATCTAGAGGTCATACTTTCTTGCCTAAGACACATTTCTGTGGTAAATCCCCCAGTTCTCACAGTGCCACAGGTCTGTCCCACAGCTCTGTCTGTGAAGGATGGAAGGTTATAAACCACGGCTTTAAAGTGCAGTGCATCCCCTTGGGCAGATGCATAGCCTCTGCGAATGCAGCCACTCCCACAGGTGAGACCCTTTGTTCTCTGTATTTCACCTGTGACTTGTTTCATGGCTCTTCTCCTGCACCCCAAGAGTGAAGACCAGGGTGTGCATCCTGAAGCCCCAGCGATGAGGTCGCGGGCAGGGTAACAGAGCACACAATCGATTCACCTCGAAGAGCACAGCGCTCTGCCCTGCGCCCAACCAGGGCCTTGGCACTTTGTCCCCATTTTGCCCTGACAGAAAGAAAGAGCAGGCCTAAGGCAGGAGAGAGCCGAGATGCAAAGACAGGCAGTCTCCTGTCCGGGATGGAAAGTCTGCCATACTCTTCCCGGAGTATGCTCTGGGCAGCCAAACGAGCCCCGTTCGTTCGCAAAACCCTAATGGGCAGAAAGAACTTTGTAAAAGTACAGATGAACGATCTCGTGTCGAATACCCACGTTTCAGGTCAACTTCTAAAACCCTTTTGTTTTTGTTTTTGTTTTTTTTTAACGGGTGTTTTTTGAAGCTTCTGCTTGGAACGCGGTAAATATTACACTGAAGATTCGGGACATCTGGGACGTTTGTGACAGCGTGACGGAACTCAGTACACGCGCCCTTTTGCCGGGAGCCAGGGGTGATGCAGCGGGCGGGGCTGGGGGCCCCTCTCCGCGAGTATCTGGGTGCGGCGGGCCGGGCGGTGAGGCGGGGGCTGTCCCGGCCGCCCTCCGTTCCCGCTCGGCCGCGGGGAGGTCTCCTCGGGTCGGGGGAGGCGGGGCGGCGGCGCGCGGCCGCGAGGGGGCGCTGCGGGCCCCGCGCGCGGCGCTGGCGGCTCGCGTGCCGGCCGCGGCATTCCCGCTGCCCGCTCGGCGCGCAGCGGCCGGGAATGGGGGAGCTGGTGCCGCCGCCACCGCCGCCGCCGCTGCTGCTGCCGCTCTGCCCGCGCCCCGAGACTCCGGCGCCGCCTCCTCCGTTCTCGGCCTGAAGCGCGCTCGCACTCGTGGATCCCGGCGGGGAAGGGGCTATGGGCCGCCTCCCCGAGGCGCGGCGGCTGTGAGGCGGCCGGCGCTCGCTCGGGAGCCGGGGGGAGAGGCTGCCGGCTGCCGGCCAGGCTGCGCCGGGGAGGGGAGTGCCGCTCGCAGCCGGCGGCGGGCGCGCAGGCAGCACCGCCGTGCCGGTGACTTGGGGGTGCCGCTCCCCGCCCGCGCCCGGCCGCGGCGGTGCATGGATGCGCCATGGCCACGCTGGTGTGCCGGGTGCAGCTGCTGGATGACACCGACCCCTTCAACAGCACCAACTTCCCCGAGCCCACCCGGCCGCCGCTCTACACCTTCCGGGAGGACATCCCGCTCGCCACCCAGCTGGCCGGGGTGCACCGCCTCCTCCGCGCCCCGCAGAAGGTACCGGGGGAGGGCAGGGGCATGTGAGTCGGGGGGCGTCGGGCGAAGGACAGCGGCCTCTCCGCAAGAGCCCGGCAGCGGGAAGCAGAGGCCGGCGGGCGGCCCCCGGCCCCTGCGGGGCGCAACCCGGGCTCCGCGCCCGGCAGCGGGGCTGCCCCGCCGGCTCCCGTGCCTCCGCTATCCCTCGCCCCGGCAGTATCGGCATCTCCGTAAGTCCTGGGGAGAGGCCCCGGGGGACGGCGGAGGGGTTCCCTCTGCTGCTCTCCTGCGTTCTCATACGCCCTCAAGGGCAGCTACCGCTTCTACTTCAGCTGTAGCTGCCTCACGCTTTCCCCAGGAGAACAAAAACCTCATCAAACCAAATCCCAAGTTGGGTATCAAGTACTCGGTGTCTTGTCCTTCGGGATAGCGTTGTCTGGGTATCTGGGGATACTGCGGGCTGAGGTGATGTGTCGAGCCGGCCGGGCTGCGCCGAGCACGGTCGCGCCGGCAGGACTCGGGCTTCGCCGTGCTGAGGTTTAATGAGCCAGGCAGTTCCAGCCGGGGCTTTGGTAAAAATAGCAGCGTCTGCTGCCCTTGTAACAATCGGTGCTGCTAGTCTGTCTTGGCGAAGAACTGCAGCATGGCCCTTGTCAAGTCTTACCTATCTCTTCTTGCATGCTTCTTCTAATGCATGTGGTGGCATCTGTAGCCTGCCCTTGAAATCAGGCACTAGAGCATTATCCTTGAACTTTTAGTTTTCAAAGCAATGCCACTGATTGACATAATAATCATATCGTTTCATTATTACCTTGTACCTGCACATTATCTCTGCAGAGTGCACTGAAGAAGAAAGGAAAAAATGCCCACTTTTTAATTATTTTTTTAATTTTTTTTTCCCTACAAAGTAGAAGTTGTAAAAATTTTATTTGCTCTGTGATGAAGTGGGAGGAAAATATTCTCGTAACATCACTTATATTATGCTCATGGGAGCCTGCGGAAAGATGACAAAGGTCTGTGTGTCCCCTTAGATTTAAGGACATCCAAAACCCCATAAAAGTATTTCTGAGAAAAGCTCATGGAGCAGACAGAAGTTTTGCATTTGTAGAACGGTTTCCTCACATAATAGTTGCCAAGGATACAGCATCCAGTGAACAGAGCTCTGCCTAAAGCACAAAAACTTTGGAAGCTCTTGGTGCGCTGGGTCAATTCTGTTTTCATGTGCTCAGTCGTCCCCAATTCAGAGTGGTCCCATTGTTTTCATGGGAGGCTTTTTTTTTTTTTTTGAGTTAGAGCTAATTAAAAGAAAGGCGGGATGGATTCTGACACCTAATGAAGTAAATAAAGAGATAGTTAAAAATCTGAATTTAGAGTTAGTTCAACCTCATTTTCAGGGATATTTCACTGTGTTATGTTTTGCTTTGCTTTGAATTATTTCCTGGCAATTTTTTATAGCTTTTTATACTAACACCACCACCACCACCTTGGTTTAGTGTCTTAGGAACCAGCCAAAATCCGTGGCCACTTGTATGTGCTTAACTCCTGCCCAGTGTTTTTGCCTGCAGCATTTCTCAGGTTTAATTAATGTTTGGAAAATGGACTTGCAGACTTTGGATGAGAGATGGCCTGTGTCCCTAGAGGTGCTGTAAACCTGGCCATTCAAAGATAGCTGCTCTGCTAGAGGCAAGCCCTGGCCCAGTGACTTGTTAATCTGAGGTTCTGGCTCTTCCAAATACTTTGTTTCTGTTGTGAGGGTGTAGGCAGACTTATTGAAATCTGCTTACATGGTTACAGTTACCTTTGTGTCTGCAGAGCTGCTGCCTCTTTCTAGAGTGCTTTAATTACTTGTCTTGGCTATCTCTTGGCTTCCACAAGGTAAAAAAAAAAAGTGTTGGTTGATTTGACTTGTTTCCTTTATTCATTATAATGAAAGCATAGTTCCGTGTTTGCACTTGCAGTTAGGGCAGCATTTCTGTGTTTGGCATTACATCTTTGTTCCTGTAATTCTTTAGAATAAACTGATTTGTGTTGCTTTCTTCTCGTTTCTTTTTGGGAGGTGGGTGTGTTCTTTCTGCAGCTTTTCCTCAAGACCATATTCAATGGTCAGTAGAAGATTACCACATTATTTGACTAAGAAGAATTTTGCTCCATTTCACCCAGAGATAAGGGCAGATTCTGATCCCAGAGGAATGCAGCTGTCAAAGCAGAGCATAGGTTGAAATTCGGGTGTCGGTTCACATTGACACATCTGAAGTTTGATTGATTAATTACTTTGAAAATTAGTGAGCTAATGGATTGATGGTCCATTTATTATCATCATGGCAACTGAAGCTAAATATCTTGAAACAGACCTAGGAGTTTTTAGCTCAAATGGTGTCCCTGCTCCCGGCAGGAGAGTTGGAACTTTAAGGTCTCTTTCAACCCAAGCCTTTCTACGATGATGATGATGAAATCCGTAGGAACACCAATGTCTAAATAATTTCTGAAGTTTTATAAACTGGTGGACTTTTTGCCAACAGATCAGTGCTAAGTTTTTTCAGCAAGTTTTAAGTTTCCATCTCTTGACTTAGGTGAACATTCACTTACTGTCTGAACAGAGCTGCCAACTTGTTGCCATCACACCACTGGATGATTTGCACATGTTGTAGATGATATGTTGCTGTGGGATGTACTTGGTAGGATGAAGTAAGTAGCAGGAATCCAGCTCACTTCAGTGGGGTCAGATTTCACCATTGCCGTCTTGAAATTAGTAATGATGACAGTGTCATGATGGTGGTATTTTTGTAGTTAGTAAAACAACTTATATATTGCAAGTCATTTTAAGTTAAACATTATAAACAATTATTAAGAAAACCATTTAAAAAGTAGATGAAAAATGCTTTGACATTTGGACCTGTCATAGTATGTCATTAGTAGCAGATGTTCCAGCTTGACTCTAAAGGGCAGAATTTCTTCACTCTAGGTCTTTGAAAGTACAACTGAATTTCACATGTTGGTTTTACTGCTTCTTTTCTTTAAACTTAATATTTTACTTGAGTTTGGATGCAAGTCTAGATCTACACACTGTCTTCTGAGCAGCAATGTTTTTAGATCCTTGTGCAGGTTTGGTGGGAAGTTAAGAAACTGAGTTCGGAGAATAATGTCTGGGATGGTCTTTATACTATGCTGAATGATGTGGAGCACCTAAGCTGGTTGATAGGAAAAAGTGATAAGAAGAGTCTCTGCAATCTTTCTATCACTTGGAATTGGGTGCCTAATTGTATCCTCCTCCCTCTTCTTTTCCTCACTTCTCTCTGTGCACATACTTTTGTCTGCATCCATATCTCTGGATACAGCAGCTTGCTGTTCATTGGGTTGTGCTCAGTTCTGTTTGGCATGCACACTGAGCCTCATGGGGCAGGGCACTGCCATCAGGAATGCTTGTTTCAGCCATCCTCCATGGTTATGAATGATTTGGTCCTAGATGATAACACACCATCCTAGTTGACGATGCAATGAAGTACCACAAGTTCTGTTACAGTATTTTTAACCACATCTAAAAATTCTTGCTGAGTAACTATGCCACGTTGCAGAGTTTTTGTGGTTTTCCTTTATTGATTTGGCTGCCTAAGGTGCCATTTTGAATTTAGCTTTTATTGTTTATAAGGATTTTAAGTCACTCTTACTGTCTGTTGTATGAAGTAGAACTGGATCTAGTTTGGACTCTGACTTCAGATGTCCCTTTTGCCCATTTTTGTGAACCTTGGGAAAATTGAGAACTGGGTCTAAATTTGTGGCTCAGGCCCTGTGCCAGTAATGCTCTTTGAATCTAATTTGGTACATTGGGTTTGTTGGTTTTGAATTGCTTTGAGTTACTTGATACTTATAACTTGCTGACATAGGGTCGCTCAGGAGAGCAGCTATATATACATGACCAATGTCAAGTGGTGCTTTTTTTAGAGATCTTCTTCATTATAACTTATTCACATAATTACAGCATGTTTAGTATGTTGCCATAGTCTGTTTTCACATGCCACAGTAGTGTTCAGTGTTGGGGCAGCTCTGTAAGAAATACATTTATACAGTAATATTGGATGTCACAGTGCCTAATTTATCAAGAAAACATAATTGAAATACTTTGTGTGACAATGGAAAACAACAACAAAAGATCTTTTCATGCGAATGGTGTACTGGTGGTGATGGTGGAAAGGAGAGTTATAGTGCCATAAGGATAATTGTTTTGACCTCCTATTCCCTCTGAGAAAACTGGAGACAACTTCTATGTTTAAATCCCTTAGAAGAATCTGTAATTAGGAACAGTATCATTCAGAAAACAGTGGTGTAAGCAAATAAATCCAGTGAGCGCTAGAGGGATTTGGGAGTTTCATTCATAAAGAAGCCATCCACATTTCTGTCTTCAGCTGCTGTGATTTAGCCCTACATTAAAGCCAGGGCTCACTCTGAGGCATGGTGTGATGTAAACTGATAGCAGGAGTAGTTCCACTGGTTGTGTCCTGGTGTGGAGCTCAGCTCTGGCATTGAACTCTGTGCCAGGCTATATTCTGGCAGCAGCCTCAGGTTTTCTGAGAGCAGTAAACCTCTGGCTCCTCTTCCCTATGTTTCCTTGGCATTAAGTAATAATGACTTGGTCCATTTCTAGGCAGAAAAAGAAAAGTATGGTTTGAGTTCTGATCCTGATGGAGGTACTGGTAAATAGAGGAGCTGTTCTCTGAAGAGAGCATTTTTGTATTAGTCATTATGTTGTTAATGGAAGCTGAAGAATAGAAGATGGAAACTGGAATATTATCATTTTCCCAGGGAAAATGAACCCACACTTAAGGGAAGCTGGCTGATATCTTCTGTGAGTGTCACTGCCGGGGACTGGGAAATATTTTAGGTGAGCGGGCTGTCAAGACACGTAGGTCTTTCATATTCTCCCTGGGGCAGGTGGACATCACCCTTTTTCATATTTTGAGAGAAGAGGGGATTTAACACAAAGGTTGTTTCCAAAAGGTTTCAAAGGTATTCTGACTCTAGTCAGA